TGTGTCTGGTACAAACCAGGATGCACTCCAAGGGCACAGTACGCTTGGGATTTGCAAGACAATATGAAAAATAACGTGGAATTGCTCAAGAATAACTTCACATTATTCAGGGCACAGCTCTCAAATGTATGTTGAACATGTGGTTTGGTTACCTATAACCTTGCTTGGTGATTGGTTCGGAAACATCACTAATGATATGGATGGAAGACCCTTATCCTTCATAGAAAAGGTATAAGGAGGAAAACCGCCCAAATAGTATTCTGTGCACAAATGATGTCTTTAGTAGATGTCCATGTGCTATTTTTTTCAATATAAACTGTCTTTTTTCCCCTAAAGAATGTTCTTGGCCTGGTTTCATAAGTTGATGACATGAGAAAAGCTTCAGTAAAGTGCCGAGATTTTGACCTTTTTAACAGCTGTTAAGCCGGGCATTGTGGTGCACTCCTGTAATCTCAACACTCGGAAGGCTAAGGCAGAAGGATCGTCACGAGTTTGAGACCAGCCTGGTCTACAAAGTGAGTTTAAGGCCAGCCTGAACTGCATAGCGAGACCCTGTCTCAAAAAGAAAAAGAAAAAAAAAAAAAAACAGCTGTCATGACAGCTAAGTGGCAGCAAAATGATTTTCAGCAGCACTTAGGAAACATAAAAATGGTATTGCTGACACTGAGTAGGAGTAGCCACAGGCCGGTGTCCACTTTGTAAAATGTCATTTGTAAGTCCGCTAGACTTTGGAATGTGCTTATTCATAGCGTTACAGAGAGACTTGAGCTTCTGGAGCAACCTACAAGACACCTTTACCTTAGGTGAATCATAGACTTTGTCACCTTCCTCTAGCCTTGTTTCTTTGGGAAAGTGTGCTTGTGGGGTGGCAGGAAACACCTGGTTACATTCTCTTTCCACCCAGGTGAGAGGTGCTCCCCACCAGGAGCGGTGAGAAATACGTAACCCTCCACGGACACAGATTGTGCGTGACGTGCCTCTCAAGGTCTCTGTCCTGGGCGTTGGGAATGTGACGTAGAGGTACTGGGCCTCTGCAGGGCAGGAAGTCAGTTATTACTGCCTTCCGCTCGCTGGTGTGAGTCACTTGTGAACTGAGTCAGGTGCTTTGTGTTCCAAGAGGAAGGAGAGATGAGACGTCGTTATAGTTCTGTTTTGTGCCCCATCCAGTGCAGGTTACGCGCTTGAACCGAGCTTTGAAGGCTTACTTGCTTTGCGTTCCTGGCACCTAGCTCAGTGTCCACACAGAAGAGACGCACTTTGTTGACTCCGTGAATGGTTGGCTGACCTTCCTGAAGCGCTGTAAATGCTGCACGGCCTCTTTTGATGTTGTTTTGATTTGATACAGTTTTAAAAGTGAACCATGGGCATAATTTCTTGTGCATGAGATAATACAGAGTCTGAAACCATAAAGGAGATGGCCTAATTGTCTGCCATCAACCCATAATAAAGCAGTTGTTTTTGGTGCAGTGGGAAAATGAGTAACACTACCTAATTGAGTTAAAATGCCAAATAACAAATTGTAATTTTCCAATGTAAAAAAGGAAAAAACCCAGAAGTCTCAGAATCCAGGGAGTGTTACTATTTTAAAATGATAAGAGCTCATTCCTTTGACCTTCAGTGTAAGCCTCTCCATGGCCTAATCTCATCCGTGTTCATGAGCTGTAGCAGGAATAAGCACAGCGCAGTTCTTGGGAGCTGTGGGACTCAGGAGGGCCAGACTTCCACTCCCAGAACTCCTGTGTGGCCTTAATCAAGCTACGTGAGCCCTTAAGTAATCCCTGGTTTTCTCACTGTAAAGTGGGGGCAGCTCAGGTCTGTGATGTCTCTGTGGACCCAGCTCTGGAGAGCACTCCGGTGTATGGGGATGTTCAGCATGTGCTCACCGCTGTGTGGGTTGCATCTTTCTGCCTGTCTTGTCTTATTCATGTTGACCTTTTTTCCAATAACGCTTGAGAAGTTGCTAGCTACTGTTTATTAGTACGTGTTTGCTGTGCATGGCTACATTCGTCATGGGGAACTGGCACATAGCATATGCTGTTCTTTTTATTTTACTTCCCTTTCCTCTGTCTTCCCTTATCCCTCTATCGCTAAATCCCCTTCCCACTAGCAGAATATCTCCCTGTTTTCTATTATCTGCCTTTTCTTTTGCTCTTTATTTATATTTTGGGTTTCTCACATAAAAAAGCCATGTAATGTTTAAGCTTGTGTGTTTGATTTATTTCACTTCACATTATGGTCTCAAGGTGCATCCATTTTCCAGCAGATGACTCAAGTTTATCCTTCTTTATAGCAGAGTACTACTCCATTGTATTGATGGACCCATAGGCCACTTCCAAGATTTAGCTACTATGAGTTGTGCTGTTATAAACATGGGTATACATTTGTCACTGTAATATATGTCTTTTAACTCTCTGGGAAGAAACCTAGAAGGGGAATAGCTGAGTGTGGTGGGTTGACAACTGGTAGTCAACTTGTAACACCTACCTGAACTGAATCAGCATGGTGCTGGGTGTGGAAAGCCCACCTGAGGATTGTTGCCAGCAGCATAAAAAGAGAACTGGAGGGGAAGATGGTGTGCTGTTGATTCTCTTGGAGAAGCATGTCACATTGGCTTTCCTGATAGGAACTCGGCTGTTATCAGAGGAGCTCCTAACCTCACTGTCACTGAGGATGGCTGTGGTTCTCTGTGGGGGAGCTCTGGTCCTTCCCTTGAGTGTCTCTTCCTCGCTCCAGTGCAGATCTCTCAGCCTGCTGCCACAGATCCTTCATCCCGCTGGCACACACTTTCTAGCTTCCACCACTGGCCCTTGGGTCTTCCCAGCGCAGATCTGTAAAAGAGACTTGCATGAGACATTGTCATGGGCTCTTGGCCTCCAGCTGGATTCTCTGGGTCTATAGTGTGTGGACAGATCTCCTGCACTCTTCTACATTTGACTCTTAGGGAGAAAGTTATAAAATAATCCTATAAATTATGTGTTCTGTACTAAATCCTTTCCTTTGTAAACCCTGACTACAACACTGAGTCAAAGGAGTTTCTAATTTTAGTTTTTTGAGGAATCACCACACTGATCTCCATAGTGGTAATACTAGTTTACATTCCCACCAGCAGTGTAGAAGGGTTCCTTTTTTCTCTGCAGCCTCATCAGTATTTGTTATTTGACTTATTGATGTTTTAATTATTTGATTATTTAATTTCTGTGATGTTTTAATTTGCATTTCTGTAATGGCCAGAGATGTTGAACATTGTTCATGTATGTACTGTATTGTATTTGTACTTCAGAGAGATACTGATTCATTTCAAAAAATGGTGCCCATTTTTTCATTGGGTCTTTTACTTTGGGGATCTCATTTTTTTTTTTTTTGAATTTTTATATGTTCTACATACTAGTCTTCTGTCAGAGGAGTTACTTGCAAAATTTTTTCCCATTCTGTGGATTGTCTCTTCACTCTGTTGATCATTTGTTGTGTAGAAGTTTTTTAATTTCATGTCATCTTATTTGTTGATTCCTGATGTTACAAAGAGTTTCTGTTAAGACAGTCCTTGCCTATGCCTATGTCTTCAGAAGTTTAACTTATATTATGTTCCAGCAGACTGTTTCTGTTTTAATATTTAACCAATCCATTTTGAGTTTGGTTTAGTGCACGGTAAGAGATATGGATCTAGATTCAGTCTTTTGTATATGGAGAGCTAGTTTTCCCCATGCCATTTGCTAAAGAGGCTGTTTTTTCTCCAGTGTGTGTTTTTGTCTCCTTTGTGAAAGATCAGATAGCTAAATGTTTCTTTATTCTGTTCCACTGAGCCACATGTCTGTTTTTGTACCAATATCATGCTGTTTGTAGTACTGTGGTTTTGTAATGTAGCTTGAAATCTGGGAGTGTGCTGCCACCTGCTTTGCTCTTGTTGACCAGGATTGCTTTTGCTATTCTAGGTCTCTTCTGGTTCCATGTACATTTTTTAGGATTTTTTTTTTTTTTTGGTAGTTCTGTGAGGAATACTATTGACATTGATTGGGATTCTAGCTACTCATTGAAGACTCTATTTGGGATGACACTTTACTATGTATATATGCATACATATTTTCTATTCTAACCCTTTCTTGTCCATGTTCTTCTAGTACTGTATTACAGAATTCACCATGTATTTTTTTGTTGTTGTTTTTTCCAGTATCGGGAGTCGAACTCATGACTTTGCACTTGCCAGGCAGGCGCTGTGCCGCTGAGCTAAATCCCCAGCCCCTCACCATGTATTATGATTACACATTTGTCTATCTACTACACAAGATCACAGATTCTTTAAGGGCAAGGAATATGTTTGTATTTTTCTTAGCTTCTACTACAAAGTTTGCCAAATAGTATTTAACAGAGCATTTGTTAAGTCATTAATTGATTTGTGTATGGAGGTCTTCTATAAGTTGTGCAGTTTTAATCAAATAGCACTATTTTAGGACTTAATAGACACCTAGCAATGTGCTTGGCATATTAGGAAGTAATTATTTGGCATTTAAGTGCTGTGTTTAGACAATTACTAAAAGCTAATTGAGCAGTCAGTCTAACTACTAGACTGCACAATTTTTTTTATCTCTGTAATTGATTTCAGTCACTTTTAAAATCAGTACATAAGTGACAGTCCAATTTGTTGCCATTCTACTATAAGCCATTAAGATCAGTCCCATCTTTTAAATTTATTTTCCCTCAGAATTTTAAAGCTTATTGTTTAAATATAATTTTATTTCTGTTTTGTAACTGTTATATTTTAATTTTGATGGCTGGTATTAAGATTGTGCAGTGTTATATTAGTGCATAGATTTGTAAATTCAGTATGTCAGATATTTCCTGATTGTTACTATGTGTAGCAAAACCCTAATGTAATAACAGTTTACCATCATTTTCTTTCTTAATGTCAGCATTATACAGGGATTGGTTTTCTTACGTTCAGAAAAAAAATACCTGTAAAATATTTTGAACCCTATTTCATGTAAGTCCTTTTCATCTCTCTTTAGGAAAATCAACAGGCTGGGAAGATGATGGCTGGGGAGCATGGGAGGAGGCAGAACTTCCAGAACTTGTAAGTCTTTGTGAAGAAACGTGTGTTGTATATTGACAGTGGCATTTCCCGGGGTAATGAGGAGGACATATTTCAGCACTAGGCTGACATTTTAAAATCTGTGTTGAGAACATTTTTATGCTGGCTTTACCGTGCCTCGCTAGATCCCTGTTCTGAGGGATCTTAGTGACTGTAGAGCAAAGCGGGTATCTTAGTCCATGCGGTAGCAAAATATTTCAGACAAAATTCATCGTGAGCAGGAAGGTAGTTGGATCATGGTTCTGGAGGCGGAGAAGTCCAAGACTGAGTGGGCATCTGGTGAGGCCCTTCTAGCTGTGTCATCCCACGGTGAGACAGACAGGCAGAGACAGCACAAGCACACACTGGCCTCCCCTTTGCAACAGATCCACTCCTGTGAGGACATCCACACTCTTGATTGTAGGCTTAACCTGCCTATACTGCTTCATGGCCTGGGGACCTCTCCTGAAGTTTTGTCTTCCCACACTGATTGGCGATTGAGTTTCTAACACTGCTTTAGGGAGACATTGGAACTGTAGCATTGGGATCGATGAAAGATAGTTGTTTTCAGATTCTTTATCCTTCTCATAAGTTATTCATGTAGACCCTCACTTATGCGTTCAGCGAACACTTGGTATGCCCACTGTATTCTCGGCATTTTTCTAGGTGCTAGGAATATAGCAGTGAAGAAGGTGGACAGTCACAACAACAAGAAGTTTATTCACTCAGATAGGAAGACCCAGTTTGGTTGGCTCAGTGACTCGACTGCCATCAAGTTCTTCCTCCTATCTGTTATGGTGTCTTGTCTCTCATGTGGTGTGGCAGCATGTTTATCCATTCATGAACACAGGGAGAAAGAGCTGGCTTTCCCACGACTCTTAGAAGGGAAGAACTTTCTTAGAAGCCTCTGGCAAACTTGGCCTTATATTTTCTTAACCCATATCGGGCCGCATGCACATTTCTGAACTGGCAAAGGGAGTAGACTTTCATTGATCAGTCATATCATTCCTGGGAGTTGGAGGGGAAGAAGGCCCACTTCTCTCTGGCTTCACAGAGGGAGCGTTGATACCAGAAGCAACATCAGGATTTTTTTTTTTGAAGAAAGAACATCCATATTTAGGTAGGTCTTATGGTCTGTATTCCAAAAGCTTGTTGGACAGGGAGGGAGAAGCACAAGGGAGGGTGAAGAGTATCAGATGGTGGTAATAGTTACACGGGAAATTCAAGTGATTGTGTGACAGCAGTGACCAATGGCCAGCTGTAGACTTGGTGCTGGGACTTCTCCGAGGAAGTGACCCTAGATCTGGAAGACCACATCAAGTCAGTGAGCCAAGCAGTGGCAGAGAGTGTTACAGGGCAGGACAGGACAGCAGCTCTGTAATGTTTCCATCACCCCAGAAAGAAACCCCGTACTCATCCCTACCTCTACCCTGACAGTCGCCTGTCTCCTTTCTGCCTGTGGATTTGTCTGTTCTGAATATACACATAAGGAGAACTAGGCAGTTTTTTAAAAAAAGACTGGCTTCTGCTTACTCATAAATTAGACTTTTTCATGGATTTTCTAATACTTTGGTTTATGGTCGTGGATTCTGTATTTGTCACTTTTCCAAAAGAGACAAAAAAAGCTGACATACACAAATTGAAAGAGGACTTTATCTTAGCTCACGGTTCTAGAGGTGTCCACGCGTGGTTGGCTGACCAGAAGGCAAGAACATGAAGGTAGAAGGAAACAGTGAAGGACACCTCACACCAGCCAGGAATTAGAGCAGGAAGACCAGAGAGAAAGAAGGGCCTGGGGACAAGAACACACCTGTGAAGCCATGCTCACAGTGACCTGCTTCTTGCAGTCAGGCCCCATGTCCTAATAAGCCCATTAAGCTAATGAACTCATTGGGGAATTAGTCCACTTGATGAAGTTAGAACCCTTGTGATCCAGTTACTTCCTCAAAGCCCATCAGCTCTGAGACTTTCAGGGGACATTTGAGATCTAAACCATAACATTCTACCCCTAGCCCCCAAGCTTTCATGTCTGTTCCATAATGTAAAATGTATCTAATCCATTTCTAAGAGTCCCCAAGTCGTGATGGTTCCAGCATTGCTCTCTTCTGAGACATAAGGCAAGCTCCTTAACTGTGAGCCCCTATAGAATAAATCAAAAAGCAAGTTAATAACCCTAAGATACAATGGTGTTTATAGCTACACCAATGCTGTCAGAAGTTTTGCTCACATACAGTAGAGCTGCTGCTGTTATTTGTACAGTTTTTAGTGGTTATGAACAACTCTAGAGGCTTCACCAGCTCCAGAGTCACCACGAGAATCAAAGTGTTGACCGCCATACCCACACTCATGAGGATAACATGGCTGCTCAGTGGGAAGGTTGACAATGGAAAGGAAAGTTCCCTGTCTCTCGGTAGGAACACGCAGCAAACTGCAAACGCACCTTCCCTGAGAGAGTGGCAGGGCTGGGCTTGTTCACATTAAAGGCGACACCAGGGACGGGAGACGTAGGGTGTCTGGAAGTCCGCCTGTGGCTGCATCAGTGTTGCCGCTGTGAAGATAATGTTAGTGTTCTCCATCAGGTGCCGTGGGACTGAGGCCATCCCAGCCCCCAAGCAAAGAAGTCTTCCTTTGCTGGTCTGGCCTGAGAGCGGCTGCGGCGGCCAGTGGGAGATGTCAGGTGGGGCTGCCAAAGAGTCAGGAAGAGCAGCTGCCACCTGCTGAGTGCTGGCCCAGAGGCCGCCCTGCCACCAGTGAGCTCAGCAGAAAACTGCAGAAGCTGCAGGGCACTCTTTACTTCCCCAGTCCATTAGCTCTTTGAGAGTCCTCCTCAAAGGCAGCAGAGAGGAAAGGGTTTTTCTATCCAGAGAGACTTCAGGGATCTGGGCCTGGCTTTCGAAGAAAGGAAATGTCCCTGTTGGAGTTTCTGATTGCGAGGCGACAGCTGTTACAGAGGCTGAGTGAAGAGAGCAGCTTCTGGACCCAGCAGAGCAGAAGTCACTCCGCCGACGGCAGCAGCAGAAGGAGTAAGTTCGAACCTTGAAAGGTGATGCGGTGGGGACCATGATGGAATGAAGGAAACCGCACACAGAGGATTGGGAGGAGGAGGCCAGAGTCAGACTAGCAGCCAGAGGGGGCTCACTGGCCCTGGAACACCGGGGCACCCAAGCGCTCCGGAGCCCCAGCCACCCTGCGAGCGGTGAACACAACATCGAACGTCGCTGCAAAGCAGGCTGGAGGCGTCACAGCCATGTGTCCTGGGACCTGGCTGCCACGGTGACTTCCATCTCTTCAAGGACAAAGCTGAGTCCATGTGGCATGGTTTCTGTGTGTTTCAGGAGGACGGTGTAAAAGTACAGACGAGGACTGCTGGGACCAAGCAGTCATGTCCCACACCTGGGGCTCCGCCTCAGCCAGCGCTGCTCCCGAGGCCGCTGTGGATCATCGGGTCCATGCTGAAAGGCCTGGGACAGACGGCCCCCTGCCAGCTGAAACAGCTTCATAGTTAGCCTCAGATGCGTGTGGTCAACAGGAGGCCGACGTGTGTAGGCGGGAGAGACCAGGTTCCTCTCCAGGCTCATGGCCCCTTGTGCGGTCCCTGTTGGTATGGCTCCCTGCCACCTGCACTGCAAGGTGCTTTGGAAAGCGGTCGTTTTCCAGGAAGTGAGTGGCGCTGTTCAGGCCTGCTCTGTCTCTGCAGCTTCTCCTCTTTTGACACTAACCGCTGTTCTAACTTGAAAGACACCGCACTCTGCTTTTCCCTGTTAATTTCCCTGAAGAATGAAGCCCTTTTCCCTGGAAGGGGTTGGCAGGGGTTGTCCTTCTTATGTAGGACATCAGTCCTAGGGTAAAGCCTCACCCTCGGGACCTCATTTAATCTAAACTTTCTCCTCACAAATAACAGTCTCACTGGGGGTTAGGGCTTCAGTGTATATAGATGCCCAGAATACTCTAATGGGTCCGTGCCAGGCAGACTTCTACTTGGGCAGATGAGAAGAAAAAGGCTAAGGGAGCCCTACGAGCCCATGGACAAACGCCGTAGGGAGTGCAGAGGCCCGCAGAACAGGCTCTCAGCTTGGACTGGGATGGAAGGAGGCAGACACAGTTCTCCTCTGCACTGACTGGGTGTTAGGTGGTATCACAACAAGATAGCGCGGGTGGGGAGACTGGAAAAGAGGTCCAAAGCACTGCCAGCCCCTGAATGGTGATCGTGCAGTGGGCGCTAAATAACTTCGATGTGGTTGGTTAATTTTGTTTTGTTGTGATCAAAGGTTCTGATTGGGATTATAAATTCTGTGTGCCGCGGGAAATCACCAATTAGAGTGGAATATTTTGCTGAGCTACTTTCAAAGGGAATTGAGGCATGCTGGCAGGAACCCGAAAAGGCTCACTTTCATCTCTCCTGGCGAGGTGGAGTCCTGTGCTTCCGTCCTCCAGAGGTGCGGTGCGGCTGAAGGTGGAGGTGGAGTCGGTTTGCTCAGTGATGAGTGAGCACTGGCTCCTGGAACTGGAGGCACGGGGAGGTTCTGGGCCAAGGTCTCAGTTGAGACAGGCAGCATGGAAATTTTCCGCTCAAACGAGACAGAGACATGTTCCATCGGTTTTGCCAAAAGTGGTATAATATAGTTTCTGAGACAGTTAGGACTTAACAGATTAGCAGAGGATGAAAGTGTTCAGGTCAGGTGAATGCCTGTTTATAGGTGAAAGGAGAAATCTTGCTGCCTTATTAAAGTATATTAGAGCGCTCACAGTCTAAGGTGATGGGGAAAGCCTCTGCCTCTTTCAGTAAGTCATTGAAACTCCAGGGCATCTGCCACGCGGGAGCCCCAGACAGCAGATGGCCATGCAGAAGGACACATCCAAGCTGTGCGAGCATGTGCCCGGCCTGTCACCCTGAGGAGTGGCTGCAGAGGGTCCCTCTGGGCCGGTGGTCCCTGGGAGTGCGTGCCTTCTCCCTGCGAGTGCTCATCTGGCCAGTGACGACCTCGCAGCAATAACTGAAGCTG